CAATCTAACAATGAGATACCTACCCTGATGCAAGAAGAGACCCTGCTGGACTCCAAGCACAAGCACATACCTAATGAAGAAAGGAAAAGAGAACCAATGTCACAGAGAGACATGTATGACGAAACATAATAAACAGAAAGGGGAAAAGGCCAGGAATAAGGTGGGTACTGCAAGAAAATAGGAGACATGCTCAAACCTCAGAAGTATGGCCTTCTAGAATTGTCACATCAGAACTAGGGATTTCAACATATGTTGTAGGAATATCCATTGGTTCTGCTCCAACAAACAAAATGATTATTACCATAATGTGCCTTTAGGAAATAGACGGAGAAAAAAAGGGCAAAGTGTGAGAGACATAACAATAACTCAGGTAGAACCACAATTTTTCAACTGTACTAAGTGAGGAGTTTGATAGCATGCTCTGTCTTTTTACATGTATGCAAGGAACTCTAACTCATCATACCTAACTTATTATGCAATGACGCTAGTTTAAAATTCCTTGCATTTCTAGTTACTCAAATACCAAGAAATGTGCAAGGCACCACATTGCATAAGCAACTCTTACCTGGGCAGATCGTTACTTAAGCTTCTAAGTGCATTTCTTACTTCCTACAACATGTACTATTCAAATTCCTCCATTCTCAAAAGTCTAAACAGGAAGTTAATGCAGAGTGTTCTTCTTTTACTCTTTTTTTCCTGTTCAGGAAACATTAAAAAAGAATTTAATAAAAAAAGGGTAGTTCATCAGCTAAGTTATGATTTATCCCAGGATCTTTCAACATAAAAAAAAATTCCAAGCACCATGGCTTGCTCAAGTAGTAAGGAACTACATCTTAGCTCTTAGTTTTTGCCAATCACAAAAGAAAGGACATAAAATTGAACAGATTCATGGCTGCTAACAAACTATGGGCATTTGTTGCCTCAATAATTGTATTCAGGCTAATAAATAAAAGAATAAAAAACTAAAAAGAAAAGAGGAAATTGTTTTCAGTAAAAATTGAATTTACCTCCAGAAGCTCCATTTTCTTCATGTTTGACATTAATCTTCTCTTCCTGATCAGTAACCATATCTCTGTCATTGTGGTCCTCATGCTGCTTTTCTTGCTCCTTATTCTTTTCTACCCTTTCTCTGTCCTTTTCAAATTCCTTCTCCCTTTCTTGCCTTTCCTTCTCTTTTACTCGTGCACGTTCTCCTTCATGTTCTTTTTCAAGCTCCTTATCTTTCTTTTGATAAGACTCGCGCTCTTTATCTTTGTCTCTATCCTTCTGTAAATTCTTCCTTTTCTCTTTAATCATTTGCCTAAGTTGATATAAATCCTTTGTGATAAGATCTA